TTTGTTTATTATTATTAAAAAACAGTTCTAAACAAAACTGTATCATTACTTTTTTCTATTATGTCCTTGGATTTACGAGCTAGCAAAAATGGGGGGTGTATGTAGAGTTTTGTCGCTGACTGTATATATATATATATGTTACTGTAATATAGCGAAATCCGACTTTTCTTTCTAAACTAATGTTTTACTTTTTGTTGTTACAGTAAATTGAATGTTTTTGTTTTCGTTTAGTTTTCGGTTGAGCTATTAGATTTATTTTATAAACAATATAAAATTCCTTATTTACATTAATAAATCTTTTTAATGTTCTCTTTAATTTTAAAGTCAGCCAATGAACCAGTTAAGTTGGCAGAATACTCACTCAATTCCGAGTATTTAAAAAGAAATTTAAAAAATGAAATCATAAGTTCACACCGACAACCCAAAGAAAACTCCTACTATCCAACAAATACAGAATATTTCGAAACAAAAAGTGCACTCCGGGAGAAAAAGTTGAATGCCAATCTGGATAGCGAGGAAGCAGAAATGCAGAACAAAGTAAGTGGTGGCAATAATGCAGCACTGCTACAGCAAAGATTTAACGGCGGAAGCAGTGGCGGAGCAATAACGGCATTGCCTGGCGGCGCTAACATAAAAACACCACAAATTCCAATGGAATACAGAACTAGCAGCATCAGTAGCAGTGGTAAAGTTGCTAGTGAAACAGAAGAAAAGTTAAATAAACCAAACTCAGGATGGAATAATCGTAATGTTGACCAACGTAAAATACAATCGAACACAAAAGATATTGAAGATGATTCCGGTAATAATTTTGTGGCGGAACGTAAAGTCGTTATATTACCAACCTCACTGCCAACTCAACGTTCTACATTACCTAATGTTTATAGTAATGCGGGTGGGAATGGCATGAAAATGGATGATGTGGAATTTTTGCATGCCGAAGGAGTTGTAAGGCGACGTCATAGACGTGGTCGCAAAAATCGGTAAATATGCTAAAATTATTATATGTGAAAGTATATCACTGTATGCTTGAGGCGATTTATTCACTTAGGTGTGAAAATTCGCACATTTTAGTTATTTGAAAAATATACACTTTTTTCCAATAAATTTCTTTTCAATAAATAAATTTTTTCTTTAGTCGTAGCTCTGAGGCGCGGACTGAATATAATGCAAAACTTAAACGTTTAATAGAGGAATTGAATCGTCCTATATATACAGATGCAGTGCAAGGGTATCGAAATGTGGAGCACCAAAGAAAATCAATACAAATCTCAGATAAAAAAAGTTGTTTCAATAATAATCGAAAGAATAAAAGTACATGGGAACCCGATTTAGCAACATATCATCAAATTGATAGACCAAAGAATATAGCACAAAATTTTAATTATTCCAATGAAAATCCTGAAGAGTTAGATGTGCTAACAAAACGTCAGTCAACCATGGATGCAATTACTGCAGAGGTGCAGACATCGTTGGAAACTGATTTAGAAGATGCAGAGTAAGTAAATATAAATTAAATGATTTTTATTATTTTAGTAACTACTTTTTATATAAAATTATTTAAAAAAATTTTTTTGCTTATTGCATACATTTCCTTTTATTTATAATTTTTTAAAACTTGTAATTTATAAGATTTCACCTAAATTGTTTATTTGTTGTTTCAATTCATTAATTCAATTCATTAAATATTAAATATAGACTATTTAACTTCAAAAAAGATTAAGTAATTCATTGTTTGAAATGCGGATAATTTGGTCTTTCATATTAAGACATATGTTTGAAACTTTTTGGAAAATAATGTGCTAAAGCGTTGTTATATTGAAACTGGGTTTATCCTAAAAGGTATACAATAAATGATATGCTGCAACAAGAACTTAATCTGGTTTATTAGACCTTGGAAAATAATAACTATCAGACCTTGGTAAATATAACTTTATTTGGAAAACGACTTTTTGTCTCATGTACATGTAATATAATTTAAGACAATCTTTCTCAAAAAGTGTGATTTGAAATTTACTTAAAGTGATATTGTTAACTTTGAAATAATGCCGAGAAGTTAGTCCGTTTACCAACTTCAGAAATAATGTAGTAGTGCACAATTATTTATTAGAAAGATTAGAAACGGATAAATTTTTGATGTTTGAGTTTTTTAAAGCCTTAAGTGGTGCGTACTCTAGAATACATTGAGAAACATTGGTGTTATATATCGTAAAATATCTCCACTAGTTCAATCATGCACCTGTTTATATTTTTACTTTATCCGTATATTATAACATTAATAAATATATAATAATACTTTGCTTTAATACATTTGAACGTGTATATGTGAGTGTAAAAGTTAATGGTCTGACATATAGACGATGGCTCTTGGAAAGAGTGTTCTTCATGAATTATATAACATATTAGTCAACATGATAACGTAATTATTATTATTTATTGACAATTTAGATTAAAAATTGTTTTTCGCAAAAAAAATATTGGCATACAAAAAAAATTAGTTTTTAATAATTTTCAGTAAGACTTTACACTCAATTATTATTTAGAACGCCGTATTACGAATTTAAGTTGTTTTATTTATTAACTTTTAGCAATATTTACCTATATAGTTTTTTTGCATCAAAGTTTTTTTTTTCGTTGTAAATTAACAGCACAAAAATATTTTGCTTCATACTTGCACTAAAATAATGTGCAATAGATGATTTTGTTATAGTAAAAATTGTCTGACTAAATGTTTTCCAGCTCTGCTATTAGTTTTTTAAATTTACTTTTATATTTATAACTATTGATTATTAATTAATATTAATTATATCCACAATAGAGTCTTTAATCTAAACTAGAATTTTTTTGCAAATATGATTTTATAAACTCAACATACGAAAATTTACATTTACTTTATGTAAAATATTTTTATTAATTATTTCCCTGTAGAATATGTTTTCCATAACTATTATTGACCAACTTTTTATATTTCAGTAAAAGTTACAGAAATATTCCGAATGAATGTGAAATATGTGAAAATTTGAATTTACAGTAATTCGAACACTTGAAAGTAGACACCGATTAAACACTGGAAAGCCTACTTCGTTTTCATTGATTTTATGTGTGAGATGATCTGAACAAAAATTTCGGAAGTAATTCAAAATTTAAACAATATTTTTTAATTTTACTTTTTATACAATTGATTGCATATACATTTCTTCATTAACCCACCATGAGTGAATAAGTGATTAACTGATACACATTAAAAAATTATTAATAAATTTTAATAATAAAAGTTCAAGAGTTATGAAATAAAAATATAACTTGGTATAGAGCATCCGCCAGTTGAATTAAACTGAAAACTTTTGATTTAAAATGGATATTCACATTTACTACTTAGTTTAGGTTAGGTTATACCGGTGATCCCCAGTGGATCCACTTAGGCCTATTGGCCCATTGTGATGCCGTATATAAATAATGAAAAACCTCAGGGTTTAAAACCACCTAGAACTTTTACATTTTCTACTTACTAAGTGAAATAATTATAGTAAGTTTTAATATTCATTTCTATTTTCAACAAATACATAATTTTTAATTATTTTATTATAATACAAACAAAACAACACAAAATTCATTACATTGTGTTCTGATTTTACGAGAATTCATTGAAATGAATTGAAGAATTGAAGAAAAAACACAACAAAGTTGAAATGAAGAAAAACACAACAAATTAGTAGTCGTTATTATCATCATTATTGTTCTTCAGATTTTTGTACAAACCAGGGCCTAAATTAAAAATTAAGAGCAAAATATCTATATTCAAAAAAATAGCCCAGTACCAAATCAAAAAAAAATTAATTTTAATTCTGATCTTAACCTATTTCCGAATTATATTAAGAAACTCTCTTCAGGAATTTCTTATTACATATATTTTCCAATATTAGTAACTAATACTTTCTAGCAGTACTTTATGATAAGTATATATAATAAGTAATATCATTTGAAATTGTAATGTAGAATGTTCCTAATAGTAATAATAAAGCGTTGTGGTTCCAATTAAGCTGAACTGTTTTAATACCATAAGTCAAACAAACCTGTTATCACATATTTTAATGTTTAAGGTGGAGCATTTTACAAAATGGATCGTTTAACAAACGTTAAATGTGTTATAAAGACATTAAAAAAAAAATTGAGAAAAAAAATCTTATTTGATGAACATACACAAATAAATTTGTCACATGTAGGGCATTGAATGTCCACAAAAAACATAACGTCACATTATGTTATGGTATGTTATTTAGTACAAAAGCGTGAGAGACTTTTTTGAAAATGACGAAGGTAGGATAGAAACCGGTGACTATGATAACTATATTCATATGCTTGCCAAAATTTTTATGAGTAAAATTATATATATGAGGGTGAGGAAGTATATATATTTCAGCAGTTGTCAAGACAAGAACACGCTCTCTTCTGGCTTTGTTGCACAAGCAATTTACTAGACGTGTATACATAACGGTTTGGTGATACTTTGACCTGTAAGGGATCGTGCTTATGCGGACAATCCTCAAATTTTCGGCACTTTGAATACAAATTTTCGTGTACTTGGCGCTATGCGTGAGTTATAACCACCTATGTGTCGAAAAGTCAACAAAAATTATATTAAAAAGAGTTAGTTCTGTAAGATATCTGGCGAGGGACATTTGAATAATGTTATAATTATTACTTAATGAGAAGATTTAGATAATAAATTGAATTAAAAATATGATTCAAATCTCAATTACGAGTGTATATTATTTACGTTTATCTTTAGAGCTACAAAATGCATAAGCTGTCTTTATATTATATACATATATACTTTACATGTTTGTACAATTCCTTGCGATTAAAATACTTCAATTTAAAATTGTTTATTAAATTGTATATACAAATTGTATAAACTTTTGCACTTAGCAGGATCTGAATTTGGCTCACAGTATCAATGGTTATAATTGTTAATCACTGAACTACCGGGGTTTGTCTAGTCCAAGTTAAATTGCTTATGGGGGCAGAATTTAATATACAATTTAAAATAATTCATTACGTTTAAAATAATTAATTAAAATAAAACAATATTACTACAAAAGATAAACGGCATCATCTGGTTTTGGAGTATAACATATATACTATAAAATATGAATATTATGGAAAAACTAGTATTATAATGCGCTTTCTATAATCTTTGTTTGAAAGATTAACGACAGTCATCCTATGTCTTCATTCTTTGAAAATATAAAACAAGATATTATATGTAAAATAAATTTTAAAGATACACATTTGTGCATAAAAATAAATGTATAATTACATAAGATTACATGTATTACATGTATAATACTCGTACATTATAAAAATAATTATAATTATTGTAAGGCTTACTTTTTTTATTGCTTCTTCTTATTTATAGTGAGATAACATCATTTTAATTGCATTCTTTTTCATGTTCCTTCAAATTTCTGGTCATTCTTATCCATACAATCGACGCTTTCTTTCTCTTAGTATTATTATTATCTTGTTCGTATAGTAGCTAATTATTAGTCCTCTTCAGCATTGCTTTTTACAACATGTTAACATTTTGTTCATAGATGCGATCATTAAAATATATATACACTTTTTTATTTAGTATATTTATATACATACTTTATAAAAGAGGTGTGAACCCTCTCCGTCAGTCAATCATTTCAAAAAGTCTGATGATTAAAAACGAACAAATGAACATCAAATGTTAATTTCTTTTTCTGCTTTCGTATTTCAATTTTGAGTATCAAACTTTTATTTCAATTTTTATTCAAATAAATACACAGAATATAATTTCGGGTCTGTGACTTTTGAAACTTTTTTGTTCCTTTATTTTGAAACGCTTTCGAAACCAACTTTTGATTCAGAAGTTTCTATTACTTAAAAAGCAATAAGAGAAAATAACATAAATTCCATAAAATCAGAATTCATGAACCCAAATCTGTACAAAGCAAAAAAGTATGTTTCATAATTGAAATTGTTAATTTATTTTAACATTATTTTGCATTTAAAGTATTTGAAATAAAAGCACAGAAGAGTTTTTGTTTGTGTTTCATTAATTCAATAATAAAGAAAAAAAGAAAAAAAGAAAAAAAAGAAAGAAAAACAATAATCTAATAACTTTTTACACAAAAAATAAACTTCTTAATTTGCTTACTTAAATCTTTTTGGTTTTTTTTTTTAACTGCAATCCTTGCTATATGCCTACTGCTTTCACCTCCCACTCATCGTCACCAAAAATCCATATTTAGAAACTTTAAACATTTGAAACACCATCACCGCATGGCACGCGCTGTGACAGCAAAAAAAGAACGCGTCTGGGATTATGGCGTTATACCGTATGAAATTGATGGTAACTTCAGTGGCTTGCACAAGGCATTGTTTAAGCAGGCAATGCGACATTGGGAGAACTCAACATGCATCAAATTTGTGGAGCGTGACCCGGAAGTACATCCGAATTATATTGTATTCACAGTTCGCGGTTGTGGGTGAGTTAATTTTTCTTTCTTCCACTTAAAACTTTCTTGACTATTTAACGCACACATTATTTAAGAGATACCATATAAACCATAAAATGAATTTATATAATAAATTTCATTTAAATAATTTTGCTCCTAAATTTACGCCTCTGTTTTTTCATTATATTGACTTTGACTTTTTATTCATCATTGTCTTGAATGTGATTGTGTCTTTTGCACAATTGCAGTTGCTGCTCCTTTGTTGGCAAACGTGGCAATGGTCCACAAGCCATTTCTATCGGCCGGAACTGTGATAAATTTGGCATTGTTGTACACGAATTGGGACACGTTGTGGGCTTTTGGCACGAACATACTCGACCCGACCGCGAAAAGCATGTCGTCATCGAGCACAATAACATCATGAAAGGACAAGACTATAATTTCAACAAACTGACACCAGACGAGGTGGACTCTTTAGGTATGGCATACGACTACGATTCTATAATGCATTATGCGCGCAATACATTCTCCAAGGGCAGTTATCTCGATACAATTTTGCCAATCGAAGTGAAGGGCAAGAAGCGACCCGAGATAGGACAACGCTTAAGATTGAGTGCAGGTGATATTGCACAGGCAAATTTGCTCTATAAATGTCCAAAATGCGGTCGAACTTTTCAAGAGAACACTGGCATTTTTGCCAGTCCCTCGTACTACACTGCCGGTGCTCTAACCAATGAAACCGAGAATTGTGAATGGCGCATTACAGCAACACATGGTGAACGAGTGGTGCTGCGTTTAGAAAATTTGGTTAGTACTTGAAGAAATAGAATTATATAAGTATATATAAATGAATATATATAATATATATATATAAATATAGACTATATAATGTATAAATTAGTTTGCAGCAGAATTTAATATGTTTATCTTTTTTGTTTTAGAATATATTTAAGTCAAATAATTGTCAAACAGATTATTTAGAAGTGAGGGATGGGTACTTTTTCAAATCTCCGCTAATTGGTAGATTCTGTGGAAAAGTAGCTAATGAAATTCTCACTTCAGAATCAAGCAGAATGTTATTAACTTTTGTAAATAATCATCGCTCGGAAGGGTATCGTGGTTTCAAAGCTGAATTTGATGGTAAGTTAAAAATTCGAATTAAGACATATGACATCTTTATTAAATGAAATAGAAATATACAAATACCTTTACACAGTAAATTTTTTTTTTTAACGGACACCAACAAGATCAGTAATTTTATCCAGTTAAGAGAATTGTCTGAGAACACAATATTACACAATTAAGAAAAATATACAGTAATGACAGCGTCCATTTAGTAGAGTTCTCAATGCATTATCTAACAAGTATTAGAAATTTTTAATAAGTACGCATTCGATATAATTTAATTAGTCAACATAATAATTGAGATATGATATGATATATACTAAAGCGAATTTAGCAATTTCTTAATTTGTTACAACTACTATATACTTATAACTACATATACTATATTGTTACATTGAATTGTTATACAGTTATATTGTTTTAGTTATATGGTATATAAATAACATTAGGCGTTTTCTTTTGTAAGTATATCGCAAAAGAACAACATAAAATAAAGCACTGCTTTTGATGGGAACTCTGGAAGAACTGGAAATTTTGTTAAGCTTATATATGCAAAACACGTAATAAAATTTAAAGTTAAAGTTTCGTAAATAAATAATAATGCTTAGCAATTATGGGTAATAATAATTTATTTTATTCATTATTGTGAATAAAATTTGTATTGTCAGGCTTTTTCAAGAATTAAGTATAATTTTTTAATATAAATAAATTCAAAAGAATTGAGTATTATTTGTCAAATATTTTTTGACAGTTAACTGGAAATTTTGTATGTCCTTCCCAAAATTGTTTACAAAGACAACTTTTAATGTTGGCAACCATTCGATTTCAGCTGCTTATTAGTTAAGCGGTTTCAAAAAGATTAGACTAAATAAGCCAGCAATGTTGTTGTTTCATATGTTATTTTTAAAATAAGCGGTTGTTCTTTTGTGATATGCTTACAAAACAAAAGGCCTTTTATTAAAATATTTAATTTTATATGGTATATAAACTAAAACTATAATATAATAAAAATATTTAAGAAACTATTTAATCTTTTGAAATTCAATTCAACATAATTTTTTTGTAAATACTGTCTCTATTTGGGTCGTAAAACTAACTTCGTCTGAATAAAAGCTTTAAAATTTTTGTTTATGTTTTTTATATTCAAAAAAACTATGATGAGGTGAATTCTCAGTTGTTCTATTTTCTACTTTTAGTTGTATGTGGTGGTGAGTTAAATGTGGATGAATCGGAAGGTCGTTTAGAGTCCCCAAACTATCCACTTGAATATTTGCCAAACAAGGAATGTATTTGGAAAATAACCGTCCCAAAAGGATACCAAGTTGCACTGAAGTTCCAATCATTTGAGGTCGAAAATCACGACAGTTGCGTTTATGACTTTGTTGAAGTAAGAGATGGTCCATCTCAAGACTCACAATTAATTGGTGTGTTTTGTGGATATAAGCCGCCTCCAAATATGAAGTAAGTAAAATTATTATTTTTAATAAATG